TGGATAAACCTGTGGGTTCCTTTGTAATTGAAGATAAGGTGGAAGGAAGTTTTAGACATTTAAAGGGAATATTGAATGATTAATAGCAAATAGCATATATCCTTGTCATTGAACAAGAAATAATAAGCTTTGAATTATTGCAAGATGGTTTCTGAGTAAATAGTATAAGCATTCTTGAATATAATGGTTAAAGGGCACTGAAACTCATTATCCAGACTGTTTTGTGTTATTCTTAAGAAATGCACAAATATTCATCCAGAGATCTAGATAAAGCACAGTTTGCCCACATGTGAAGCATGATGTGAGTCAATGTTTCTCAACTAGTGAGTGTTATGTAGTGTACATACCATTCTGTAAAGCAATGGCAGTACACCAACATTGTGATGTCATTGCTACCATTTATTTTTTTAATGGACAACTATTATTTGTATTATTGGATTTCTTTAACCCTGTCTGATGTGGCTCATTTGGTTGGAGCATTGTTCCATACACTAAAGGGTGGTAGGTTTGATTTCCAGTCAGGGCACATACCTGGTTGCAGATTTGATCCCCAGTTGGGGCACTGCAGAAGGCAGCTGAATGATACTTCTCTCTCACACGTCAATGTCTGTCTGTCTGCCTGTCTCTCTCTCTCTCTTTCTCTCTCTCTCTCTCTCTCTCTTCTCTTTCTCTCTCTCTTCCTTGCTCTCCTTTCTCCTTTCCTCTCACTGAAATTAAAAAAAATAATAATAAAACCAGAAAATACAAAAACAGACAATTACAGATCTAAAATAATCATTCCCTTTCTATAATTTTTAGTGTAACCTTTTATAGGAGGTGAGAAAGCAAACTCAAGTACAAACCTATCTCTGACCTCAAACAAATTCCTGAAACAAAGCAGGGATTTCTTTAGGGTAAGAGAAGAACTGATGAGCAGTTCCACCACTGATGTCGTTCTCAGCCAAATAAACATCTCCACCCAATGCTTTATAAACTACCTTTCAGGACTATTAGACAAGTTGTCATTTCTTTCTAGAAAGATTCAGATAATGGCATTAATAATCTTCATAGGGCAACCAACAGTATTCATTCAAAAGGCATTCACAGTTTGCAAAAGACCCTCTCCTTTTACATGCATACATTTTTAGTTATTAGCAAACATTCTCTCCAAACATGTGGTAAATATAATATCCAGAGGTCAATTTTTGTGAACATGGCTCGGTATAATTTTCCTTTTTGACCTTCCCCGTGATGTCATCACCTTAACATCAAATATTAAAATTCAATTAAATATTTTTTTCCTATATTGGTGGGAATGGCTGTACATGCATCTAATTATTGCTGTAGCACCTCTAACCTATTGGTTGCCTTGTGCTTAGAGGTGCAGATGCCAATATACTCACTCAAATGTATCCCCTTAAGGGACAGCAGGACGGGACCATGTGTCTCTGGGCATTCACAATACCACAAGCTATCACCTTCTTAACAAAAGTCCTCAGGTGATGATGATGATGATGATGATGATGATGATGATGATGATGACGACGACGACGACAATGACAGTAAATTCTTTTTGTTGTTGTTTGTTTCCTTTATTTCACAGGATTATACGCTCACCATGTATTTCCAGCAGTCTTGGAAAGACAAAAGGCTTTCTTATTCTGGAGTCCCGCTAAACCTCACGCTAGACAACAGGGTAGCCGACCAACTCTGGGTACCAGATACGTACTTTCTGAATGACAAGAAATCATTCGTGCATGGGGTTACAGTGAAAAACCGAATGATCCGGCTGCATCCTGATGGAACAGTTCTGTATGGGCTCCGGTGAGTGGCTTGTGTTGCATGTTTTACTGTTGTTGTGTTTTATGTTTCTTTCTTGAGGAAATGGGCAGAGGGGAGAGAAGCAAGTAAGAAAACATCTAGAATCTTTTATCTGTCTAATGCAATTATATTAAAAACCAGAAAATCTCTTTTGGAACCATTTGAGCTAAATCTAGGCAAAGATATTGAAAACCTATTTGAAGAAATAATGAGAGAAAATTTCTTTTTCCATTGAAGGTGAGTGAATTATTTGCCTTAAACTTTAAATAATAAACAGTAGTAAGAAAATGTCTTTGCCAGACAGAATTCACATCTAGGTTATTGTAGAAGTTATTTTTTTAACCAGTTGCTTAATTATCTTAGAGCCACCCAGACTGAACTGTGTTCTAAGTATTCAGTATAACTACTTAATTATAAAAGGGAATTGGGTAACAATATTTTAAAGAAGTGGGACAATATTTGTGGTGACTTTGAGAAGATTCAAAGTGTGTGTGTTTTTTTAATTCTTGATTGTTTAAAGTATTACATATAGTATTACATATAGTATTACATATAGTATTGCATATGTCTTCTTTTTCCCTCATTGACCTCTCCCCAGCCACCCTCACCCCCCAGCACATGCCCAGTGTTGTTTTATTCCTACCGATCTATGTTTTACCTTGTATATTTAGGCATATGATTCATATTGAATCAATTTTTATTACATGTGAGGTAGGGATTGAGGTTCAGTTTTTCCATATGGCTATCCAGTTATTCTAGCAACACTTATTGGTGCCTTTGACTGAATATGTAGGAGTCTATTTCTAGGCTCTCTTCTCTTCTCTTGTTCTACTTGTCCATCCTTAGGCAGTTTCACAATACTTTAATTGCCATAACTCTGTTAAATTACCAAGTCAAGTCCCACAACTTTGTACTTACTGTTTAAGATTGTTTTGGATATTAATGGTCCTTTGCATCTGCCTACCAAAGGAGACTGCTGGGATTATAATCAAGATTGCATTGAATCTGTAGGTTAGTTTGGAGAGAATTGACATGTTAAAATTATAAAGTCTTTTAATCAATGAACATAATATATCTACATTTAGTTAGATTATGCTTAATTTATATCAGCAATGTTTTACACCATAGTGGATTTTGTTTTAATTCTTTGCATCTATGAGAATCAAGTAGAAAAGAGGTATCATACACTTATAGAGGTCTATTATTTTATTTTATGCCGGGAGCCGGTCCATCCTTGCTGTTTCAAGGGACCTGGCATGTATGGCATACTGTTCTTAATATGTTTGCTCACCTTCTTGGCACTATGTGTTTTAACCAAGGCCACCTCTCTGAGAAAGGTTGTTTCCCCACGTAGGGATTTCCCCCTGAAGTTAGGGAGGGAATAAAACCTCTTCACTAAGTGCCAGGCAGGTAATTAATCACTTTAACTAGGAACAATCATGCTTAAGCTACATAATCTTTTCTCCCTGGAATGGAGATAAGAAACGCCCTAACCTTTGGAATAGAGATTGATAGGATTGGAATCAACGGGTATAAATACAGATGTAACAAGACAACAGGAGACATAACCTAGAGAGGCAGAACCGAGAGACAGACCCGAGACTC